CCTAATTTAGCAGTGTAACACTAGAGGGAAGGCAACTAGTCATCACCACCCAGCGCCAATTCTTGGGCTACTCTTTTTTTCTAATATATTTAAGGTACACGTCTTATATGTTGTATTGTATGCATACTGCATTTATATATATATAAAGGTCGGATAGTTTTAAGGTAGCGTATGGTCACATAACCCTTTAAAGAGCCATACATTCAAATTCGCGGTCTTCATGTCATTCCATTCAAAATCAGTTGTCCTGTTGTCCTGCCACAATAATAAAATTTAAGCATTGAAGAACTTCTTGGTTGTTGTTGTTGTATATTTTAGCACAAAGTTGCACAATGGGCTACCTGCGCTCTGTATACTGTGGGGAATTGAATTCCAGATTGCAGCGTTGTAAGTCAATAACTTACCGCTAACCCACACGGGTACTTTTGCAAACGTACGTTTTACAGTTCGTAATCATAATAAAGTTGCAAACTGTAAATTTTGAGCTTTTTCACATAAATCAAATATATGCTTCATTCTAAAAGCATTACATAATGAATTGAATTCATTCTTAGTATTTTTAGGGCAAATGTGTTGAAATGCGTTGAGAAATATGTATATTAAAATTTTCGCGCAAAGTTACAAAAGAACTATCTTAGTATAACCATCTCTAATCTTAAACTGATTGATCAGAGTGTTAGTTTATTTTTGGAACAGAGCCACATTGGGCTATCTGCTGTGTTCATCGCGGAGAATCGAACCCCGGATTTTAGCATTGTAAGTCCATAAATTTATCGCAGTTCCACCGGGGAACAGTAATCGGAGGAATGCAGATAATCAAAAGCATCGCGGTTCTGTAGGAACAAGTCATGAACTATGAACCCTTGAACACAAAGTCCAAGAATTTTAGTCAATAAGTCATGCATATTTAAACATTTGAATGGTGTATTGCAATGAAAGTTTTGGTCGAGTGGTACTGGTTCATGTACTTATAGGAATATGCCTATCTGACAAATATGGCGAGCCAGATGCAGCTCTTAGGCTGCTAAATGTTTACTCCTGTCCTATATCGTACAATATGAGTGTCTGCTTGAAAAAACAAATGGCAATACTCTTGAAAAGTTCCCATATAAGGAACATCTCGTCTCTGATAAATACATTCCTTAGGCAAGATGAAATGATTGCAACTCAGCAAACTTGGCCGATACATCAGAAAAACGAGAATCAAAGGACTTAAGATAAATAAAAGGAGATCTGCAATTGAGCTTCTTCTACCTTAACCTCAATAAAGCCAAGAATGCATCAAGGATTAGCTTTGTGTTTTATTGACATTTATCTTGAAGATCCTGTTGGTTAGGGCTCGCAATTTGAGGATCGCGGGTTGGAATCTCTGTACCACCAAACATGCTCGCCCTTTCAGCCATGAGGGCGTTATAATGTGACGGTCAATCCCACTGTTCATTGGTAAAAGAGTAGCCCAAGAGTTGGCGATGGGTGGTGATGACTAGTTGCCTTCCCTCTAGTCTTTCACTACTAAATTAGGAACGGCTAGCGCAGATAGCCCTCGTGTATCTTTGCGCGATATTCAAAACAAACATACTCATTAATTCTACTGGGAATTAATGTCTCTAAGAATCATACAGAGTAGATAGAATAGTATTATTGAAAAGGTTTGTTTTCCTTGGACAAATGTGTGTCTATGCTCTGAAGAAGGGCATTGAAGAAGGGTGTCTGTAAGGAAAGATTATCCAGTTTAGAAGATGTTTTTTCCTGGGTGACAGACTTTTGCTGGTGCTGATCATGATGATCATTTAACTACAACCGTAGACACAAGGAGTAAAACTGTCATTATCTTGTGTACCTAGATCCGCCAACGAAGTTCTTCCTCTGAGTATGAGTCTCAGTGTATGAGATAGTCAGGTTTGACCGAGAATGATTGGGGTAGTCTCTATAGGATCCCTAGGCATTCACTTGTCAGAGCAGTGAAGCCCCTACTCTGGTCAATGCCACCCACATCTGGATGAAAAATATGGGAATGCCATTGATGAAAGACATTCACCAAGAAAAACTATTTTGCCAGAAGGCAAGACAATGGGAATGAGCTTGTGAAGGTGGTAATCTGTATGACAGTGGAGAGCCTCTGTATGATGGGAGGATTACTGCTGGGGTAACTACAGATTAAGAAGCAGCCAGGAGTTGTACGAGAGTGATGTGCGAGCTACCTCCAGTAACACACCGTTCTGCAATCCTAGAGTCCCGGCACCAACCTACTCCATTACACCCCTAATACAATGGACTGTACTGTCCAATATGCACTGTAAGTCAGTAAGGAAGATTCTTACACCAAAACTAGATTCCTCTCCCCAATGGTTAAGTGTGTGTCAAAGAGGCTTGAACCAATTCTTGGAGCATTTTAAGTAGATCACAATCTGGAATAGAAAAAGTTGGGAGTAGGTGATACGACACCTAAGTACGTGCAAGACATCGAAAAGCTACGACCTTATGTTACAAATGAACCTTTAATGCCCTTATTTGACAACAAGTCAGAGTTCAGGACCGACAAGATAGAGGAAGATGAGAATAATGTTTTGAAGCATGTTAGCTTAGCTGATGAGGACGAAAATGCTGAGCATGCTTACCTAGTAGTAGGCAAATGATTAAGCACTTGAAGATATGTGAAACGTTCAGGACAGAACAGCAGCTAGGACAATCATTTGGTAGAGAAAATAGGGACTAAAATGGTTTCGCGGCCCTTACTTTCCGAACTATTGAGTGGTGTTGTCTGAAAAAAGTTTATGTACTACACTTTATGACTACCATTTGATTATTAACAGCTAGAAAAGTCGTTTGGCTGAGAAACCAGTGAATGACAAGACGTTTTGACTCTTGCTTTCTGACCTATGAGACAGTATCGTATGACAAAATGTATGGACAGCATTTTGTAACTAACACTCGATTGTCACAGTTTAGGATGTCTGGTGTTTGTAGATGTAAAAATCTAGAGCATTGAATAAATATAGGTTTTTGCTAGGAGTACAAAAAATTAATTCGAAGGAGCACTGTGATCTTTTCTTTCCAAGCTGTTAAATGATTTTTGACAGCAAAATGATTGGCCAACATTTTGCGAGAATCACTCACCCTACCTGGCAGAATATTGAAATGCCCCAGAATAGACCATTCACCGTGGACTGTTGTATTTAGCCAAGGCTGTTTTGTGTGTTTATTGATATACAAGGTAACAACGGCATGAATACTAATTTTAACAGTGGGAATACTAGCTAAAAAGTCTACGTTTGACTAAATTCTGCTGGTAATTATTTATCTAAATATTTCTAAGAATCTGTTGAGTTTCACTATTCATAGATGGTAGCACATTACCAAACTATAGCTGTAGACGTATAGTCTATGGATTTAGCTGAAGTTATTTGCCACAAACCTGAGGTGGTCTATCAACAGATATTGTGGAATTCTTAAGTAAAAAGTTATATACAAATGAGTCCCAACGAAAGAAATGCTAAGATCTAACTGACAGTGAGTCACTGAAGTTTGAATAATGACAAACATATCATTACAGTGTGAGAATTGACACATGTTGGAGACGAATTTTGAGATGTAATAGCAAGTATAGCTTATGTGGTTCAATACAAGGAAAATATAACGTTGTCGAAATGGTGTATTTAAGTGTTTTACACTCACAAAAAGAAACCTATCATTCTATAGGTATTTGAAGAACTTGTAGCATTCCGCGACAATTGTTTAAACAACTCTATTCAGTTAAATAACGTTGTATTCTCCAACACAGCTGAACTTAAAATAATACTGTTTATTTGACTGAATATTTTGCATCAGTTAATCCAACAATAAATTACTTGGACTCCACTGCACGAAGATGAATAGGCTGTCGAAAAGGACAAGACTGACCCCACTACAAATATTCAAAATACACACATGACCACTCCGAGAGCAGAGAAGTTATGCATCTCTAACTTTAATCACTCAAACACAAGACTGCAAAACGACCACTCTAAATTCTCATACGAAAGTTGAGCTAGCAATATGTGAAGATCACCTTGCACTAATTATCTGTCAAATATTATCATAAGAACACGGAGATAATGAAAGGTTGGTGCTCTCTGAAAATGTTTTTGCAATCTCAAGATACAGGTTGGTAGGGTTGAATACTCAAGTGTTACAAACAACTATTATCTGAAAATATTGCATAAAAGTTTGAATATTATAGACATTTTAGAAAGACGAGCAATATAAATATAAAAATATATCTGTGAGGTGTTGCACACTCATACATGGCGTTTTACACAAAATCATTCATGGGTGTTGTATAACACCAAATAAACCAATAAAAATGGGAGATACGTATTATGTCATTTATATAACAGGATAATAGGCGTAATCAAAATACAGATTACAACAAAATTGTAAATGATCTCTTTAAAAAATATTATTGATTAATATTTAACTATGAAGGATAAGTAAAATAAATTAAATGCTTATCAGAAAAAAAAAATGTGTCAGCAGTTTGAACATCGTCTTCAAACAACTATAGATAGGGCTTCCAGCGATTCATATGAATGTTATGATAGCTTTGATTTGAATGTCTAGCTGGCTCCCCGGTGGTTTTGAGTCAGCAGTAATTCTGAGGGCTTATAATTATAAAAGTCGGATTTGGATACCCCCAGTGATAGCACATTGTGCAGCTTTGCGCTTAACAACAGACAAACAAAATGTATAGTTATTTATTAAGAACAAATATATTACACAAGCTCCGGATTAACATTAATGTTTTAAACTCTCCTCGTTATTTTACTGACCTCTTTTGGTAGCCTGTTGAACTAAATGATGAACCATAGCGTCAGTGAGAAATATTCTTAGCTTTTCTAACATACACTTGATTTCACTGGCGTTTACTCGTCCATCTTTATTCTTATCTAAAAGGTCAAACGCTGCCTTGAGCTCTGGATGTATGAAAGAAAAGTATTAATTATCATAGATATACAGATGATTTATTGATAGGTTGAATCTGTTGGACTAATCTACAATATTTATTTAACGTATTATCATAACATATCCTGTTAGTAATACATTAGTAAAACAGAATACATTAAATCTACTTTCCTTCCTAAATTATACTCGAAAGGATAACGTGTCTCTTGTCTATTCAAACTAAAACGTTAACCAACGTCTTCCAACATGTAAATATTCGAAAATATAAAACAGAAGAAATTATGGTTATGTTATCACCTAAAACTATGGAATATAAAATAACAATAACAGTAGAAAAATATGAAAATATCTCAATCAGGTTTTTATCTCCACATTCAATATTTACTGAACACGTTTTGAAGCAAACTGTTATTTTACGAGAACAAAGTTTAAAAAATACTGTAAGTTATGAATAACGTGTACAATAATAAGTCTGCTATCATCACACTGAATATGAAATACAGTAAATTAACAAAATCAAAATCATTGAAAAATATTTGTAATAACTTTCCAGCAATAATGAATAGTTAATTACAAGGACAAGCAGGTTTTCAAGAAAGTGGTTGAAATCTTTCTTACTAAATACTGATCGTAAAGATAAAGACTTTAATTGTTGTATATTTTTACCAATAATTTACCAATTTTATGAACTTAAAACAGAAGACGACAATGTTGTGTTCAAATAATTCCAATGGTGATACGAGGTAAGAAAATATAAAGTGTTTACGCCCAACCAGTCAACCTCTGATCTTTGCTTTTTTTGCGTCAGAAACGGCATAGTGAGCACCTACGTACAAGTAAAACAAAAATTGCTTCAAGAGACGATTTATAGCAAGTGGGTATACGATTACTCGATATAATTTTATTAATACTGTTATTACTTGTTAATAATAGCATTTACTTCTGTTAATTGTAGCTAAATATTGTAAGTTATAAATGCTGAGTTTAGTTTTACTACTTATTGCTACGACTTTGTTGTTTTTATAAATCGTTAAGTGGGCGTCAAAAACAAAAGAAAAGAAGAAAAATAAATCGAAAATAAATGTTTTTCGTGCTAAATGACTAAATAAGAGAGTAAAAATGAATAAGGCCAGAGAATAACGGAAAATTGAAAGAAGGTTTAGTACAGGAAATCTTGCCCAGGACTTTTCAGGGCCTTACTGTGCCACTGGTAGATGTCAATTTTTCTGGAAAGTTCTCTCCAATCAGATCGTTTTCGGTTAATGGCGCATGACTTAAGGGTGACGTCGCTATGTATCACACGTTTGTTTTTGTCAACCAAATAATTGTGTTCGAATCAAGGGATTTTTAAAATTCAATAACAAACATTTGTCGCACGTTTATGAAACATATAAACGAAAGATTTCTACGGATACATCTTTTGTTCAGAATGTAATAAGTTTGTGGTGAGTTTGCACTTATTTTGTTCGTTTTCCTGCTTGATTTGTTTTACACCTTAGAGGCTAAGTGATGAATCAGATTGATGACGACAAACGATCGCTGTTTTTTACATGAAACACTTTAATTTGGCTCCTTGGGCAGTGTGAAAAAAAGTGATAACATTTGTAAGTATTGAGTTTGAATAGGAAGTGTTGCGCAGTTTGTTGACAATATTGAGAATATTTTTCAAATATGTCATCTTTCAAACCACCGGGTACTCAGAACAGGAAGAAAAACTCAAAATAATAAAAATTTAAAAGCTTTACGCGAATCTTTTCTAATGAAATTTCAAGATCCCTCACAATGATGTAGGTGAAGTTATCAGCGTCACTGATCTCTATACCAGACTGGGTTACGCACTGACTAGTGTCACCACGGTAGCCATATTATTGGTCCCTAAATGATCGAGTGTAACCCCATTAATGACAAGGGTACTTAACTAATGGAAATGAAGGTTGAATACTTTGTAATCATTTCATTCTTTCAGTTTTGGAAATCTAAGTTTTTACGGTATTTCTCGTTACTTCACAATGTATATTTTAATATATTTACAAGATAAATAAAAAATTAGGAATTTCAAAACCTACAAATAGAGATCGTAAAAAAAAGTAAAGAAACAAGGTTGGAGATACTGTAGACATTAATTATTCAAACTAAAAACCTCTATTTTGACTCCATGTTGTTACCTAGAATTACATTTGGTGGAGTCAAAATAGAGACTTGAAGTTTGAGTAAATAATGTCTACAATAGTTTCATTCTTGTTTCCTTACTTTTTTACGATCCCTATTTGCAGGTTTTAAAGTTCCCAATTTTTAATTTATCTTGTTTGCTGGTTTTTTATGCTCAACTATGGACAAAGGATTACTTGATATGGTAGCTAACTTTATACATTGTAATAATAATAAACATAGCTTGTAGCTAGCTGATACGGTTCATGATGATTTACTGTAGCTATTGACTACTTGATCGCATTAGTTCGAGATGTAAAGTGTTAAACTGCAGCTGGAGATTGTCACGGAGATTTGTTTGAGAATATAGTGAGCATTTATAGTTCTTGTGTAACTAACTTCTCTATAAATAATGCATAGCAATGGGTAAATATATGCCTAGGCTAAGACAAAAAGACCACTAAGCGCGAAAAAAATACTATTAGAAAAGTAGCCTTTTAAAATAAAGCGTATAAGTCTAAAACATCGCTTTAAATAAACGTTTGTGTCTTTTAAAGTAATTATTCTACGAAAGTGTGTAATACAATTTAATATTGAGTGTATTGATTTTTTTTTTACTCCTTCACTTCAAACATAATGTAGTGGTTGGCTTCCTAAAAGACACCAATTGTATAATGTACAAAGCATTGAGTATTTACATGTTATGGTCATCTAATGTTCATCTATTATTGGCTGATAATTCTTGTTTCACCCTGTATATAAGCTTTTTAAAGAAACACTAGAATTTTGATGTTTTTAGCTTGTGTAAAATACTGAAAAAACAAATCTACTTTTCAATACCCGTACGACCTTCGCAGTACCTTCGCAAAGCGCAGTACCAGTACCTCACCTCCTGGGATGGATCTCCACCAAATTTGGTATGGAAGTTCATTGGTTCTGTGGGAAGATACATAGAAATTATCAATTTTGCATTTTGAGTTTTGCGGTTTTTTGTGGGCGTTTTTGCATTTTTTTTTGCCACTACTTCACCCCCTGTTAATGGATCTTCACCAAATTTGGCATGAAGGTTTGTTGGGTCGATATGGAGATACATGCAAACTTGCGGTTTCACATTTTGTGTTTTACAGTTTTTATGGCCGTTTTTGAGTTTTTTGACAATTACATGTAAGGGAAGAAACTTTTCATGTCCTAAGATAACCTTTCATTAATCATGAAATTACATAACTTCCGTCCAGGGGACGGATACTCCAGTTAGTTGTTAATAATAAAGTGAAAATTTTCGGTATATAGTACTGTGCAAAAGTGTTCGAATAAAGTCAAAAATTAGATTTCAGACTATTTTCTAAGAACAATTGAAAGTAAGTCACAAGTGAAGCATCAACATTTTATTGATATTCATACTTAGTACAACAGAAACTCAGTGGAAGTGCATGAGTTCAGCAAACAGTTAATATTTTGTGTGTGTCCTCCTTTTGCTTTAATAACTGCAGACAGTCTTTCAGACATTGTTGCAACATATTTAATCCAAGTGTCCTTTGGGATTTTACTTCAAATGTCTCTAATGCACTCCATAAAATTTCTCTGGAAGTAACTTTTGATTTGTCAAGTTTTTGATCTATCAAATTCCAGATCTGCTCAATTGGGTTGATACTGGGGCTCTGTGGGGGCCATTGCATCATTTGAATGAGTACAGGAGCTTCTTTCTTAGCTAAGTAATTTCTGCATAGGTTGGATGAATGTTTGTGAGCATTATCTTCTTGGTAGTAGAATCATTTACCAATAATACGCAAACCACTGGGTATACCATGACGGATCAGTATCTGATGGTACTTGTGCTGATTCATTATTCCATCTATTTTGGAAATATCTCCTGTCGCATCAGCAGAAATTCACCCCAAACCATGCTTTATGGTAGGTGCTATGCATTGAGGTAAGTATCTTTCTTCCCTTGGACGTACAACCTACGCTTTCAACCAAATATTTCAAACATGGACTCGTCCGTCCATAACACTCTTTTCCAATCATCAACAGTTCAGTTTTTGTAATTTGTTTAGCAAATTTCAGTCTCTTGACAATATTTGGAGATCAAAGTAAATGTTTTTTAATTGTTATACGACCAAATATTCCATTCTCGTTGCGTCTTCTTGATACTATAGATCTGGACACTTTTCTGTTATTTGGTACATGGTTATTTATCTCATTCTTGAGATCAGTGGCAGTCTTCCTTCTATCCCGAAGGCTGCATAAACGAAAATACTTAACATCAGTATCATTAAGTTCAGGTGTTCTCTTCGTTTCCGAGTTTCCAATTTACCTGTCCCGGTCTCACGACCTAGGGTGTACTTGAGAGTGTTGGGGAGCATTTCAGGTTTGTAGCAATTTGTCTGAGAGGCCAACCAGCATCACGTAAAGCGTTTATGCGAACTCTCTGTTCTACTGACAGTTCTCTACGCTTTTGAGGCCGTGGTATGACAACAAAATTAATATTTAGTGTTAAACACTGTTTTCTTTCAAGGTTTATCTGTGGAATGCTATTAAATTGATTTCTTCTAGCATATATCAGTACCATATGCAGGCTTCTTGCTAGCTTATTTCTATATAGTTAAGACACTGAATGGGGTATCTAACAGTTACTTCAGACCCTAAATTTGATCAGTATGTTCTTTAAAGCAGAACCCTTGTGACATGCCATTGGTACAATTATATGGGAATTCTAAAGAATGATAAGTATTCTCACCCTGGCTCATTAAACTCTCAACAGGGATCAGTGAAGCATTACCATAGTGTTTAAATTTACACTCTGTAATGGCATGGAAGAATTAGTCCCATAAAATAGAAAGAATGACAAAATATTCTTTTGTCC